AAAGAAGGGCATGTACCAGCCTCGTACCGTCTTCATTGGCCGCCCGCGCAAACGGATGCAACAGCCCGGCGGTGGTGGTGCTGCACCACGGTGAAAAGGCAAAACACGAGATTGCACGGGGCGTTGCAAAGAGCGATACAATTTTGGAGCTCTCGTCGTCACTTCTTTCAAACAGGCGGGGCAACGCACAAAACGGTGGTGCGGTCTGAATGTGCAAATCTACGCCCGCGGAAAGGAGCCCACGCGTTAGGTACCTTGTCAAGGTTTGTTCTTTTTCCTGCTTGGATTTGATCTTTGCACATCTGCCGAGACGCACGCGGTCGTCGACCGAATAAATCTGCCTAGCGACTCACCCTTGCGACCTCCGACTCAGGATCAAGTGGCATCATCGTGCCGCTCTCATTTTTCCTGCAGCAAAAACCAGCGCAGACGTGATAGCACATCGACGACTGCCTGCCTGCCAGCTCTGCACAGCTACACAGCATATCGAGCGACATCGCGTCACGCTCAACGTGGTCGTGATGCCACGCAAGACGGACGTAGAGAAAGACCAAGGCGCGACGCTATGAAAGACATTGGATTTGGTGACTCTTACACTGCCGTTCTGCGCGTCCGCCATCTCTGCGACGCAAGGGCTCTAGGCGTGCGTGAGCGGGTCGACAGCGAGCACACCTTCATGCTCAACGTATGGCTGAAATCCGTGCGCGCAAAGCGGCGGCAAAAGGTCGATCCTCGTGAGCCAAAGTCTTCGACATCATGCTTGCGTAACACACATCGCTCGCGCGTGTTCGACTCACGTAGTGCCAGCTGCTAAGCCAAGCTCGGACCGCTTGCGCCAGACCCACTCGTCTTCTATCTGTCGACGTGCTGGTATGTCTGCCCGTGCCAGTAGCCAGGTAAGCGATTCCTCTTGCATTTTCTCTCTCCAATCCCAGCAGGAATTGCTCCACCAGCGTGACCGCCTCTTCGCCATGCAAGCCGTGCAAGTCCATTAGGTACTCTGTCCTCTCTTCAACCGAAGGTGACGTGGACTGCTTGCCGCCCCCGCGAGCATGAGAGCTGGAAGCTACGCCTAGACAAAGACCGAGACCCGCCCCCGCGCTTTTGCCCCTCAATCCTCTCGCCTGAGCCTCGTCAGACTGCACACCCACACCAGCACCCTCAGGGCCAGCGAGGGCCAAACGTTCTTTGATCGCCTTATGCCTGTCCCTCATCAAGAGCTTGACAGCTCCTCGCTGTTCCTCTGCCAGCTTTGCATTCAGCGCTTGTCCTTCGGCCGACCACTGACGTGCGCCAGCTCCATCTCCACCCTTCCACGCTTCTGCAGCGCGCGCCACTACGAGGAGCAGTAGGAGGTCGACGTGGTCAGTCACAATTCGAGACCTTTTGGCGGCTAAAGGCGACTCACAACATTGATTCCGTTGATCACTCAATGACAGTGCCACGCCTCTATACGAGGCATACGAGGCGGCAGCCGCCTTACCAGTGTCCAGCGTCGGGATCAAAGCTGGCGGTCGAAGGACGATGCGGGGGCTTGGTCGATTGCTAGCACCCGCAGGCGCGGCAGTAGAGGCTGACGAGGTGCTGCTTCGTGGACCAGTGGGTGCTCTGCTCGGTGCAGATGCCTTGTGTACGTGCACCGCTGGCGCATCACCAGCCACGAGCGCCATGGGAGATTGGTCTTTGCCCTTTTGAAGTGCTGCTGCCCATCTGATCCTGCTGGTGTCCGACGAGCCGGCAGAACTGTTGGTGGCAGGACCCGTCGGCGCACCAGGCGGAGCGCCGCTCGCCCTTGCGCGAGTAGTTTTTGGACCGGCGGGTATGAGTTGGCCCAATTCTGGGAAATCATCGTGAGGAGGCGTGCGAGGCTCGGTTCCTGCTGACGAAGAGGCGGATGGTGCCGTCGGAACAGAAGCAGCTGAGCTCTTTGGACTATGCGGAGTACCTGATGACGACGTCGAGCCAGCAGCAAGCCCGCTCGCCAAGGTCTGCACCGCATCTATTGAATGCGTGAATGCGCAATTGTCGTTGAGGCACTGCGCAACGAGAAAGAGAGTCGATGGTCTGACCTGTCATGGCTCGCGACGAGAACCATCGCTTACACTCACCCGACCACGAAGCCAGTGGATGCACAGTGCGCGATCAGAGTGCAAGAACGCGCAATCCCTCCTCAAGCAGCCCTGGATGAACAGAAGGGGGGTCTCAGGTGCCTGTCGCTGTTAGCCTGCCACACTCGCGCACTCACCCCAGAGCTTGCCCAGTATTTGCACACTCGATTCTGCTTGGGCTGAGCAGTCGACGATGGATGCTGAGCAGCAGACGAGCTGGCGAAGCGCGCCGCAGCACTGCCCCCCTGAGCAGCTTGAGATTGCCTGTAATTTGCAAAAGCTTCCCGGCTCATCAAGCTGACGCCACTACCGCCAGGCACAGAAATGCCCCTAGGATATCGTGGAGTGGCAGCAGTGACAGATCGAGGGCCCACTGGAACGGATCCACTTTGCGCCCCGCTTCGAGCAGGGCTTCCAGCCAAGCCTTGTCCACCGGCATCCATGATAGCCGCAAGTGTAGCGTCCACATCCCATCCATTTGCTGCCAATGCTTCTTCTATCTGCTCGGGTGTCCACTGCTGCTGTTGTTGCTGGAATGAGCCCGTTGACGATGCAGATCCTACCGAAGAAGGTGCAGCTCCTGTGCTAGAGTTGAGGATGCTGAAGAGCACGTCAAAGGGCGTCATTGTGGCGGCCAACGCTGACTCTTCCTCGCTGTACATGCCGACGCTCCAGCCCGACGAAGCACCCGCATGCGTCTGAGCCAGCGGGCTTGCGTCATGATGACCTCCGGAGCTCGCACCGCTCAAGGAGCTGACGCTAGTAGTGGA